AGTAGGACGGGAGCTGCCAAGTTTCCCAGCAGCTGGGGAAATGAGTGTGTAGGTCTTGAAGGAGAGATCTGGGCAGCAACCACTAAAAAAGTAAAGCCCGTCTCATTACCCGCTCCAGGGCTGGTGCCCATTTTATTCAGGTGTGTGGGCTGACCTCCAAGGACCCAGGCAAGGAATCAAAAGGGTCTGCAATGAACTGCCTGTCTCAGGAGGGGTTCCCAAAAAATGGACCCTGATGTGAAGATTCGTGTTAAAGTGATTTATTAGGAACTGTTCCCAGAACGAACCAGTAGAGAAAAAAGATCAGGAAAGGAGGGAGGCCAGCAAGGCTATTAAGAAATGTCCTACAGCTGGTCACTTTGGCTCACTTCTACAGGGGAGCTTTAGTGACAGAACAGGTACATCCTGAGAGTTGTCCCTATCAAGGGGCAAGGAAACTGGCATATTTATACCCCTAGACCCATCAGCGGGGGTAGGGACTGCCTCTGGGAGAACTTAAATGCCTAGGCATCCCACCACCCTAAGTGTAGGCAAACTGAATTCCAGCCACTGGGGCAACACTTAGACAAAGACACAGATGCTGGCTTTATTGGGAATGAAAGCACGAGGGCAGCCCGTGTGCATTAACGTGGTAAAGGGATGGGAGGGGCCGTGGGTGCAGAGCTCCCAGCCCAGAGTCTGGGCTCATCAGGCTTTAATAACTTCCCAGGTGAAATTACTCAAGCTGCTCCTTCCTGGTCACTCTCTCTGCCCCGAAGTGAGAAGAGGAGGTAATCAAACTGGCTAATGACGCCTTTTTTTAGCAGGATGATACATTCTCTTAAAAACAATTTTTTTTCATCTTTCCCCAAATTACCAGCAAAGACCACTAATTCCATGAATGTTCTATGGGGGTGATTGTAAATTGGGGAAGGGCTACGTTTCTTTTTTTTGTTTTGGGTGGGTTTTGGTGGTGGTTTCTGTATATACATATGTTTATTGAAGTATAGTTAATTTATAATGTGTTAATTTCTGGTGTACAACATAATGCTTCAGTCATACATGAACATACATATATTCGCTTTCATATTCTTTTTCACAAGTTACTACAAGATATTGAATGTAGTTCCCTATACTATACAGTATGAACTTACTATTTATCTATTGTATATATATATATTTGTTACTGTCTGCAAATCTCGAAGGGAGTGGGAAGGGATAAATTGGGAGTTTGAGATTTGCTGATATTGAATTGCTCTTTAAAGTAATTTTAAAGAATGTTGTACAACGATATCTATTACAGGTGTTTATGGAGTTATACTCCCAGTAATAACAATTATCGCTGTGTTAAAATTCTCTGCCTCCTTGTAAAATTTTTAACTTATTCATCAAGACGCTGACTTCTATCAGCATCTAAGGCTCATGTGAAGGAGAGTGATTTCAGGCTAACAGCTCATTCCCAAATAGTAGTTTTTGGTTCAAAATTTAAAAATTGAGAGAGAGACCCTCATAATAGGAGAAACACTGTGAGGACCTGGATGTTAGGCAATTCTCTCTTTTATTGGCAACAATTTGAGGGTCCAACCCTTGCTTTATAATGATAAACAAAATGATAGGACGCCAACATTAATCACACGTTAAGTGTTGATACCCACGTGCAGGTAGGAACAGGGGGTGTCAGGCAGGCACACAGCTTTATTAGACCTGCTGTAAATAAGCTTTCTTTCTCCATCTTTTTTTCTTACGGTCTCCTATAACTTTATTGATCCTGTCTACAAGTGCAGTACTAAACACATTTCTATACAAAGGCTAAGGAAAAGGGTTTCTCTTTCACCATATGACCATTTTGAGGAAATGACCTAGGTATGATGCCTCTAATGTCACACTGAAAATAAAATGCTCTGTTGATTATTTTGCTTAATCCTTATTATAATTTACTTGAAAAAAATATAATTTCTGTGTAATAAGCATGACATTTTCTCAGTGTCTAGATAAGAGATCTATATACTTTTTTAAACATGATTTATCATAAAAAAATCAGAGACCACTTTAAAGTAAAGGCAATTTATAAAACATCTTGCAGACTGTTTTATGAGGCCATCAGGTTAGAAATTACTAATGAACTAACTTTTTGTTCCTGTTGCCAAATAGGTAAAGTGAAAAGTGTAAATATATTTCTATTTGGACAGGTACATACAGTTTAATTGTATTCAGGGATTTTAGAAGAAAATTGCCATCTGAATTGGAAAGTATATAGGATTACCTGTAATTTGTGGATAATTAATTTTTTGCTTAATTTGCTAACATTCTATTGTTGGAATATTTGCTTTGTTTTGAAATAGTTTATGATTAAGTGTATAAATTACTACAAGGCACACAAGCCTCTAATCACAAAAAAACTACAGTGGGCTCAGACCATTTGGCCCTGCTATAACTCAGATGTCTTATCTGTGGGAAGGAGAGACACGATGTCTTATCGCCTGCGTTTTATCTGATTTTGATTGGGAATTCGAGCTATGTTTCTTATTCTGTTGAAGACATACTGAAACCAGACAAAGGATCTCAAGGTAAAGAACAGGAAATGGGTATTGATTTCCCTTATCCACCCAGTCTCTTCGTATCTTTTTGTATTGTACCATGATGGATTAGGTGGACAGGCCAGCAAATGTTTCGCATTTGCTACCGATTGGATGGGCTTTGGGAAAAAGGATTTGAGGCATATGCTGGTAAAAAGAAGATTCTTAAAACCAGGTCTGGGTCAGTGTGATAAGTCGCAAAGCGTATGTTCCCTACATCAGAAGACCCCCAACCTCCTAATCTCTCTCTTACACTCCACACACACACCCCGCTACTGAAACAGATACTGATGCTTTTCTGAATCTAATTTCTTTTGGTCATTTCTGTCTTTCCTTTCTCTGGAGTCAGAATGGTCATCAAGATTATGCTTTCTCTTTCTCACCCCTAATCTGCTAGGTCTGCTAAGTGCAATCTATGGAGAAAATGTATCCAAACCACAGGGGATAAAATGCCGATCCGATCCTCAACTAATAGAAACAGAGTCTTGGGGGGGGGGGAGCCAGGAATCTGTTTTTCATCACAGGTGTCTCGTGCACCCTTGCGTTTGAAAGCCATGGCTATAGTTTGTTATGGAAGGTATAAATGCTAAATTAAATACACCGAGGGACAGCCCTTCCAAGAGCTCTTTGACACACTCGTAAAAAACATACAAGATTCAGCGGCAGTGGCACACCGGCTTTCCGGCTTTCTGGAGCTCTGAATCACCCCAGCCCCCTCCTCCCCACTCCTTTAAGGGCTTTGCCATTCTTCTTTCTCAACAGTAAATTATTTACAACATAATTAAGCGGTCATTGTCTGAATGTTTCCGGGCCCCTCACCCTATCCCACTCCACCTTTCTATTTTTTTTCCTGACATTCTCTTTCTCACTGTGTTTAAGTTCAACGCATTGAAAAACTAAAGACAAAATAATTATTGTAGAAATGTAACAATAGAATGAATGGCTCGCCACCAGGCATCATCAGGGGCCATTGTACAGCAAGCGTCTGGTTTAGCCTCCCTCCCTTCCCACCTCCCGTGTCACACTGGCTCCTCTTCCTCCAGCCACCCCGTGACCCAAATGATGTCTACAAAGTAGCAGGACACCCAAACTTCCTTCCGGAACACTGCATCTCAGGAATCATACCTCGAGTTTTTCTCTTCTTCTCATAAAACCTTTTCTGATCTGCCTTCCAGGGGAGCTGAACGAACGATGAGTTAATCAAGGACATTTTCTGTTTCGGTATTTTTCATCATGCATATAGTTTTTCTTTCTAAATCAACTTTTTTGAAGTAGAATTTCATAGAATAAAAGTCATCCACCTTAAGTATGCAGTGAAGAGGGTTTTGACAATGTATGCCTGTCCAAATATCTCCAAGGTCCAGATACATACCATTACTCATCATCCCCGAAAGCTTCCTCCTGCCCTTTTGTAGTTAATTTTCCCCACACCTGATCTCTCAGCCCCAGGCAAACACCTATCTTCTTTTGATCACTTTAGATTAATTTTACCTGCTCTAGAGTTCATACAAATGGAATCATACCATGGAGACTTTTGGTGTCTGGCTTTTTCTCAACATGGTGTTTCTGAGATTGATTCATGTTATTACATGTAAGGATATACCACAGTTGTTTATCCATTCTCCTATTGAGGGGCATTTGGGCTGTTTCCACTTTGGAACTATTCTGAACAAAGTTGTTATCTTTACTGTGAACAATTCTTTCTTGGGCATATATTTTCATTTTTCTTGGGTAAATACCTTGGAGTGGAATTACTGTGTCGTTTAGTAAATTTGTATTTAACTTTATAAGAAACTGCCAAACAGTTGCCCAAGGTGGTTGTATCATTGACATTCCCACCAGCAATGAATGAGAGTTCTGGTTGTTCCACATCCCTGTTAACACTTAGGATTGTCAACCGTTTCAATTGCAGCCATTTGGATGGGTGTGTAGTAGTATCTCACTGTGGTTTTATTTTGCATTTCTGTGATGACTCATGATGAGCATGTGCTTTTTTCACGTGCTTTATATTCCCATTCATACAGTTTCCTTTTTGAAGTATCTTTTGCCCATTTGGAATAGGAGTTAATACTAGGTTCCAGTACTTATATAGCCATGGCTTTCAAACGCAAGGGTGCACGAGACACCTGTGATGAAAAACAGATTCCTGGGCCCCCACCCAAGACTCTGTTTCTATTAGTTGAGGATCGGATCGGCATTTTATCCCCTGTGGTTTGGATACATTTTCTCCATAGATTGCACTTAGCAGACCTAGCAGATTAGGGGTGAGAATGAGAAAGCATAATCTTGATGACCATTCTGACTCCAGTGTCTTATTACACACTCACACACATGCACAGTATTTCCGATACCGAACTCAAGGGATCAATTCTGACGGTAGGTATCAGACTTAGAGGTAAAAGGTGGAGTCTTCTGTATATGGGGGATTGAAGTTTACCCCATATAAGCTACAAAGTACTGGAACCTAGTATTAACCTAGTCCCTGCTTTGTTTTGGTATAACACAGCGATTAGACAGGTAGACTAGAAACTCACAGCCTGGGTTCATTCATACACAGGCTCTAAATGCATGACACTGGACAAGATGCTCAACTGAACTGTGGCTGAGTTTCCTCTGCTGTAAAAAGAGGCCATGCTTAGCTCATGGTGAGCTAAGTGAGACCATTTAAAGCAGTTGGAATAGTCCAAATACAGAGTGAGCCTTTAGTAAATGTTGGCTGTTATCAGGATGAAGAATCTGAGTTTCATTCATTAAAGTGCTCACCCAACCACATTCTTTCCAGAATCCTTATCTTTACAGCATCATTTCTGTCCGCCAGTCCTCAACTCTATTTCTACAACTGTTTTCTAGGTAAGCAGTCTCTGGAGACTTACTTTCCTTTTGCCCTCAGGGGATTTGCAAAAGCACTGGTAGAGAAGGAGGTACTGTGAGGGTAGGTATTACCCAACAGAGTTTAAATTTTATATCAGTTTATACCCATTTGTTCTTGGAAGTCTAATTCTTTTTAGAATATTTCAACAAAGACCTGAGCTAACTTAACATTTAAGAGAGGGAAGAGAAACTAGACTCATCCCAGCAGGAGGCTGGCAGTAACATTTGACAGTTAGATTATTTTATTTCAGGGCAGAAAATTAGTGGCCTCCAAGACAAACAGAGGAAGTGAAACTTTAACAGCTTTTGGCTTTGAACTTCAGGAAGCCCTAAACATTCCTGAAGGCACATATTAAATGAAAAAAAAAGAAAGAATTAGGATGTGTTAGACTAGTAGAATAAAAGACAAAAACCACATGATCATCACAATAGATACAGAAAAGGCATTTGAAAAAAATCCAACATTCATTCATAATAAAAACTCTGAAACTAAGAATAGAACTTCCTCAATCTGATAAAGGGCAGCTATAAAAAACCCACAGCTAACATCACACTTAGTGCTAGAATTGCTGAATGCTCTCCTTCTTAGATCACACACAAGTCAGGGATGTCTGCTTTTGCCAATTTACTTTGACCTTGCACTAAAGTTTCTGTAACTAGTGCAATAAAATTTTTTCTTTTTAAATTAGGGGCATCCAAATCAGAAAAAAGAAGTAAACTGATCTTTATTCACAGATGACTTGATCCTCTATGAAAATCCAAAGAATACGCCCCAGGTTTACCAGAACTAACAAGATTACAAGAGCAATAAACAAAAGTTAGTAATATCTCTATATGTCAGCAACAAACAATCAGAAGTTGGAATTAAGAAAACAATCCCTTTGATGAACATATGTATGTTCATGTCTGACTGAAGCATTCTGCTGTACACTAAAAATTGACACAACATTGTAAACAGACTATACCTCAATAAAAAAATTTTTTTAAATAAAAGAAAAAAAGGAAACAATTTCTTCATAAGAACAGCAAAGAGAGTAAAAATATTCAGGAATAAATTTAACGGAAGAAAGGCAAGACTTGTGCCCTAAAAACCATAACACATCATTGAAAAATATTAAAGAAGGACTAAATAAATGGACAGACATTTCATGTTGATGGATTAGAAGGCTAAACACTGTAAAGATAGCTATTCTTTTCATATTGATCTCTAAATTCAGAGTAATCCCTATCAAAATCCCACCAGAGAGGCTGGAAAAGTGAGTATCCCTGTTAGCTTATTCAAGGGTACAAGGAGGATGGATGGATGACGGCCACAGTCTGTTCTCTTCTCCTTCCAGGTACTGGCTCTTACACTGTGAAGGGCTTCATGGGTGTATGGGTGTGTGTGTGTGTGTCCTTGCCCATGGGTATAACTTCCAACCTTATTCCCCCAATCCCATCAGAAATTGCCCATGATAGTCACCCCTTCAACCTAGAGTGTGCACACTAGAAACAAAACTCCCTTTTAGGAGCACAGACCCAGGGCAGAGGATCAAGCAACTGCTTGGAAAAAGCTCTTTCTGAGCCACTTGGGCAGAGAATTCCACAGATCTGTTCACTAGAGGCATGGTCTGGGAGTAGAGATGTGAGATCCAGTTGGGCACATCCCCTCAGCCGCACTGAGCACTCTGAAGGGAGCTGGTAGTGTCCTCTAAAGCAATGCTTCTCAAACTTTAATATCAAACAGATCACCAGGGATCTTGTTCAAATGTAGGTTTGGTAGGTCTGAGGTAAGGCATGATGGTCTGTCTTTCCCATGAGCCTCCATGTGATGCTCTGTTGCTGGCCTGTGAACCACACTTGGATCCCAGGCCCAATCAGAGGCCCCACTGAACTGGCTCTAAGAGCAGAACTTATTGTGGAATAGAAGTGCCAACTCTAGGAGTGAAAGGTTGTTTGGAACTATCAAGCCTTCATCACCTCCGACTGGGTGATGACTAACAGTGACCCAATGAACGGTGTTCACAGAGCTTGTTCATGAGGAGTTCATGGTCTACTGGGCTAGTGAGATGTGCATAAATAATTGCAAGACATTGCACGACGGGCAGATCGGTGACACAGCAGAGGTGAGTAGTATCTGAGCAGAGCCTTGAGGGAGGAAGTGGGTTTCACAGAGAACAAAGAGGGAAGGGGATGCGAGGCAAAGGGAATGAGGTATCTGTGACAGATTGTATTTTCCCAAGAGGGCCACAGCAATATCTCTGGTCCTATAAAACCTTCTAGAAATTTCCACACCCCTAACAATAGGTTTAGTTCCCTTCTCTTTGAACGAGGGTAGATTTATGATGGGCTTCCACCAATACAATGTGAAGAAATGACATGATGCGACTTACCAAGTTAGATTAAAAAAGAGTAGATTGTTTTTCAGTATGGAGACTCTCAAAAGACTAAGAATAGACTTACCATATGACCCAGGAATCCCGCTCCTTAGCATATTATCCAGAAGGCACCCTGCTTCAAAATGACACCTGCACCCCGATGTTCATAGCAGCACTATGTACAATACCCAAGACATGGAAACAGCCTAAATGTCCATCAATGGATGACTGGATAAAGAAGATGTGGTATATTTATACAATGGAATACTATTCAGCCATAAAAACTGACAACGTAATGCCATCTGCAGCAACATGGATGTTCCTGGAAAATGTCATTCTAAGTGAAGTAAGCCAGAAAGAGAAAGAAAAATACCAAATGAGATCGCTCATATGTGGAATCTAAAAACAAACAAACAAACTAACAAAAAACAAAACATAAATACAAAACAGAAACAGACTCATAGACATAGAATACAAACTTGTGGTTGCCAAGGGGGTGGAGGGTGGGAAGGGACAGATTTGGATTTCAAAATGTATAACAAGATTATACTGTACAGCACAGGGAAATATATACAAGATCTTATGGTAGCTCACAGAGAAAAAAATGTGACATGTATGTTCATGTATAACTGAAAAATTGTGCTCTACACTGGAATTTGACACAACATTGTAAAATGACTATAACTGAATAAAAAATGTTTAAAAAATGAAAAATAAAAATAAAAAGAGTATGTTGTTTTTGTTTGGTTTTCTTGGGCTGCTTGCATTTGGAAACAAGCCACCATGCTGTGAGGAAGCCAAGAAGCCTGTGGAAAGTCTTGATGGGGAGGAACAGAGGTCCCCACCCAGGAGTCCTGTTGGGCAACTAGCCAACAGCCAACACCACCTTGCCAGGCATGTGACTGAACCATTGAGACAGCGGGTTTCCAGCCTTCGGTCAAGCTGCTCCCAGTGACACTGGGTGGAGCAGAGATTAGCCATCCCACCAAGCACCGCCTTACTTTCAGACCTGCGAGCAAAAGAAATGACTGTTGTTGTTTATCAACTTTTGGAGTGATTTGTTCCGCAGCAATAGCATTCAGGAATAATATGTAAAGATAAAGAAGTGTGAAACCACTTGGTGTTTCAAAACATGGCACAAATAAGGGCGTGTTTACATATAACTCAGTGGTTAGAAATAAAAACATAAAAATATGGCAAAGGTTGGGAACATTGAATCTGTGATGTGGAGAGGGAAAAGTTTCATCCACAAAGCATTAACAGTGTAAGTGTAATAAAGTTGCCCCGTGTGGTCAACCATGCTTGGATTAATTATTCATGGCTCTGCCAGAAAATGTTCTAGATGTAAATGTATTTATAGAACAAAGTTTCCTTGCCAGCAAAAGCAAATTCATAACGAAAAGAAAATAACAATATTCTGTGTACCCTCTGTAAATGAAGCTCAGGTTGACAATTTTCAAAAGAAATCAATTAATAGTTTTTCCTACCAAAATGGAAGTATGATAGAATTTCCAAAACAAATTAAATATTCGCCTGGATTCTTCCATGGGGGATATACAGCCCTATATTTGGGATAAAAGTACACAACTCTGTCCTGCCATCAGTCCTTTCGGTTTTCCTCCTAAATACCTATTTCTAAGAGAATCAACCAAGTGTTTCTTAAAGAGGTAAAATTTAGGGCTATTCTTGAATGCTGACAATCTTATTTTCTATAGGCCTGAGGAATGGTGGGTGCATGCTAATTGGAGGGAGAAAGATTTAGAATGTACTGGATTGATATGTCAAGATTGTCCCCTGGGCTGTGAGTTTCCTGGAAAAAAAAAATTCTTTCAATTCTTTGACCCTAAACTAGTGCTTAGTTAAAAGAGAAATATCTTCAGGCAGCATGGGGATTTATATTACATTTAGGAGTTTGGAATCAGAGAGTCTTGGAATGGAGATAACAGGTGATGAATGGCTTCCTTCTGCTCTCAACTAAGCCGACTCCTCCTGGAACATTGTACTCCGTTCCTGACAACGCATTTTAACAGAAACATAGACAAATTAGAGTGCATTTGGAAGAGAGTGACTTAAGTAGTTGAGGAACACAAAGCCATGTCACATGAGGGACAAATGAAGAAAAGGGGGATATTTCCTTTAAATAATGAAAGCGTTTTCCTGCAGAAGAGCTGTTAGCATGACTCGGTAGCCCAAGGAGCATAACGAGAAAAGGACTGGGAAGCAATTTAAGGGTGAAGAAAGTCAAACTATGCAAAGATGGAATTGGCTATCAGGGATCGCAAGAGGTCCCACCACTGGAGGCATTCAAGCAAATTATTTTGAGAAAATTTCTACATAAGGTAGTGGTTGGATTGGACATCCTGAAAAATCCTTTCCACTACTACCAAGAGCGTTGAACTCCTTGAGAGTCCCCCATCCCATCACCTCTGGGCATTATTAGATGTGCTTCCACTTGTGCCCATAATACAGAAGTTTCTACCTCTGGATCCCTTGAGTGGTGACATTTCCTGAAGCCTCCAAAGCCTATGAAACCCCAGAGGTAATTTGCTGTCCATCACTGATGGCCCCATACAGCGCTGTGCCATGCCTCCTGGGGTAAGAGTTGCACCCCCATGCCAAGCCCGCTTCCTCTGTACTGATGACTCCCTCAACACTCAACATGGCAACACCTGACTTCCTCCCTTTTCTGGTGTTACCCTGCACAGTTGTTGTCAAGCCAGGATCCCACAATGTCAAACAGATCTTATGGGCAAATATCTGTCACTATTTTCTTCCCCTTGGACTTAAGGTCAACAGGGGCTGAGTTGGAATAATCAGAGAGCAACAGATTTTACGTCTTGCTTCAAATTGCCTTTATCCAGAGTGACGTGCTCACTGACCTCAAGCCATCTTCCGAGTCTCCAGTCTCTTTTTCCTTCAGAGTCAGGGCTTCTTAGGACACGCTTGGCCCCTCATGTAAGTATCCCTGCCTCTTCCTAAGGGCTTGCTCTACCACGCCTGCCACATGCCTGATGTTCTGAATCCCAGGTTCAGACAGATTAGACTCAAGCTGTGGCTTTTTCTTCTTCCCTTCCCCTTACATGAGTCTGTGACTGAGGAGTGAGAGCAGAGAATGAGGGAGATAAAGGTAACAGAGGAAGACACGTGTCATGGAAGGGGAAGGGAAGGGGTAGATGGTGTGGCTGGCTGAATTTAAAAATCTTTTAATGAGTTTGGTGAAGTTTTAAAAATTCAGTGTGATGTTTATACTACTAAATAGTAGGACTAAAAGAAGTACTCATGTAATTTAGCAG